ATCGTCATCGTTTTGACGCCTTATTGCCAACCTTTGATCTTTTTTTTCCTTTATAAGCTTTCACTGACCTTTCAAAATCTCCTTTGCACATTCTCTTATGCTGCTGAAATCTGTCAAATCGCATCGTACAATGATGAGACGTGTGGCATCGCAACCCATCTTAAAAACAACGAGCTCAGATATCCTCGATGTTTTCCTTCAAACTAATATTTACGCGACGCTGCACATTGGCGGCGCGTTTCTGACCCTATGTATCAGAACTCAGAACTACTATCACGAGTGACCCTTACAGTGATTGCTTTTGGGACCATCACTTCAGATGAAGGGCCATCTTCCCACCCAACAATCCAGTGCCTGTGACCTCATTGTTTGCCCATACATCACCAATCCATACTACCTCCTCTGGCCCACCTACATTGACCGCCAGGATTTATCAGGATTTGTTGGCATCTCATACTCTTTGTCCCTTACTGTCCGTGAAAATTTGCACAATTTACCCTGTTCTTTTTGTGCTTTTCGACAAAAAGGGGCAACTTGCAATTTTGTCAATTTCTTCTGCAATATTGTCAAATTGCACACTCAGTTTGATAAGACCTTTAGAGTCCTGTGAAGTGTAAACGGAGCACTTCTTCACGAATAGATTGAAAGCATCGGCAGTGATATGTAATCACCCTCCCCCCACAGGCCGAATTGCGCCACTCGCACATGACTCTTCAAGTTTTCCTTTTCCTTCTTCTTTCTTTGGAACTTACTGGCTTCTCATTTCCACTCTCGCCGGAGCCCAAGTGCTTTGAGAGCTTTTTCTATTACGTTGGTCAAATTGAATTAGAGGGCCAGCTTCATTAAACAACCTTTTTTAACGAAATGAAATAGAGCGAAATGAAATGAAATGACATTTTGCATGATTTACATACAGTCCCCGTTCTCTTCAACTGTTATTTTCCCGGATCTCGAAGTAGCTGACAGACGCAATCCCCAGTAAGTGGGATGCAGTCGCATTCGCCACTGTTAAAAATGTTTCCGGTTGTTGACTTTACTCAGTCGTTCTCGTCTCACGTGAGTCACCACACAGCCCCCCCCCCCCTCGCTAAACGGTAGTTTCTTTGGGAAAAACTGTGGAAATTGGGAAAAAAGTTTCGGAAAACTTGTAGGAAGCTGGGAGAATACAGAGAAATGGTAGGTAGTGAGGAATGTACCATAGAAGGAAGCTGTGAGAGAAGGGGAGGGGGTCGTATTTTGCGAAATCCCCCTCGCGGCAGGACGTGCCCTTCAGCTGGTTAGTCGAATGGTGGGCAAGCTGCATATCACCTTTAGTTGCAATACTGAGCTTCTTTCCAAACCCAACGAGTCAGCATGTTTACGAGAGGGGCAAACTAATCATAAATGTCACGAGCGAGAGAACGGGAAGGGGGTGATGTCGAGCAAACAGCGTGTTTGGCACCACTTACTTACTCCTCTCGGCCTTTTCCCGCTAATGGCTTCTTCTTCGAGTCTGGCATCATCATACCACAGACACCTTCTAGAGAGTTCTTTTGAGAGACCACCACTCCCCTGTCGTGTATGCCCTGATGGCCTTCTCTAATGACGTCACTTTTAGGTGCTTTCGGTCAAGGAGAGGGAGGGGGTGGCTTTTCCCACTTTCGCTCACTTTTGCTAGTTGTTCTTGCTAGTTCCTGTTGAATTACACTTCTCTTCGAGTCTCGCCGAGTGTAAACGAAGCTCATGCTCCTCCATAGCTTTACAGGAATTTGCAAGTTTTCTCATGCGTAGTGGCATCAGTAGTCGATGAGAACCAGCGAAATGCTCCAACTAGCCGATTAGCGCCCACTTTTATTCTGAAACGGTGCAGTTTCGCCGGACATTTTGCTACTGTAATATCTCCTCCTCTCGTTGATTTTCGCCTATACTATTAACACCTTGGTCCTGATCCGATTCGACAAGAATTATATTGCTAAAATCTAGTTATTCGACGGGTGCATATGAGGGCGGATCTATATCTCGCCCGCAGCAGTTATTGATGCTTCTCTTCTTACAGGGCATAAGAGCATACCCAAAGATCCTGTTGGTGGACGAAGAGAGGAGCAAAGGTGTCGTATCGGTTGTTCCGTTGAAAGACCAAAAACTGTTTCCTTTCTCAATAAGTGGGGGGAGGGGTGGGAAGCGTTGGTCTCCGTGACATCAATAGCCAGGAAATATCGAGTATTACTCATCTTTAGAATCGCTATTGCTCGTCCACTCAGATCGGTTCAATCCTTTTGCGACACCACCTTCACTGCATGGTTGTGCCCGAATTTTATTTGTGCTTTTTGTGCTCAGCTTTCTTGTGATGACTCATTGCTCTCCTCTGATATAAGAACTACACTGAAGTTTCCGCCCAATTCAGGTTGCTTATCCTTCCAAATACTCCATATGTGCCCTTGCAGAGAGCATCATCATCCTTCCCACTCTACGTACCAGATCCAATATTTCAAATACGGTCAAACCTATTCCTCCACTAGAGGTAAGCTATTTTGAACAGGGTCAATGTTGCCATGAGCCAAAAATCGATAAATTTCAATGGCTCGAGTTTTGGACCTCGTTAGCTCGTGGCAAGAGTTTACGACCCAATATTCATCGGCTATGTCACGAAAACATAGCCATGTTGCTTATTCATAAGTCTATCGTTTATTCATTCACATTTTCCCAGAACTCCAACTACTGCGTCTAACGCAAGAGCACTAAAAAAACGGGATTAGCTAAGATGAAAACGAACTTGTAAAAATGATTTCAGAACGAATATTAGTGACCTCTTGGAATTTCAGGCTTAGTTCGACGACCGGGGGGGGGGAACATTTTCAATTTCGCTATTTTCTTAGGATACTTTCCGTCAAAATACATGTCTCACCTTAGCAGGACTAGTAGACTCCGGAGTCCAGCTAATTGATAGCTTTACGGGAACTTACAGGAATGCCCACACCAATCCGTATTTGCTATAGCACGTCTCCTTTTCTAGTGGAGTGTGGAAAAACAACCCGAATAAAAGCATCCCTATGCTGCATCAAAGAAAGAAGAGCAGTACTTTCCATGACTTTGCCAATGAAAATAACTGTAGTGATATTTCAGAAGTCCGAGTAAGTTTTCAATTTTAGAGTCTTCCTCGCACATATCGGCATGGAGCCTATCGACAAACGTGTGTCAGCTCAATAATCCCCCGCTGTCCAGGCAGGGCACGCCATCAATGTGATGATCACACACGGGGGGGAGGGTCGTATGAGACCGGGTGGGAGGGGAGAGGTCGTATTTAGTCCGAGAAATTTTTTTTATAGTTGATTTCTCTTGTTTTACGGAACGCTATAAAGGGGAAAGGGGAGTTGATTTCTCTTGTTTTCACGGACGCTATAAAGGGGGAGGGGTTGGTATTTGGTCGTTGTTGGGAGGGAGATTGCCAAAGAAGCATACAACTACTATTTCCGATAAATAAAATGATGGTTAAATCCTGACGACCTCCCGCCCCCTAGACAGAAAATTCTTGGCTGAAAAACTGGAAGGTTTTGGGAAAATTTCGGAGAACCTGTAGGAGGTTGGGAAATCTTGGAAAAGTGGTTAGTAGCTAGGGGGGGAGGGGGGTGTCGTATTCGAGGATGGAACTAGGGAGGGTCGTATTCTTTAGGAAATGATCACAACGCGATGGCGTGCCCTGGTCCCAGGGCGACACTGCGGGCGAGGCTCGGCATCCTTGTCGTTCTCTGTTTATCCATATCAATAGGTTCATCTGTAGGCCAGGCGGAGCCCAAGCTTACGATGACTTTGACAACTACCTCATTGATTTACGAGATTCGCACAATGTTGACCCATACGATATCTAAGAAGGCATTTCACTTAAATCCTCAAGTAATTACTGACGAGCCTAGGCTCGCCCTTCAATTGATTTATGTTTCCTTGATAAATAATTATACTGAGTACCTGTGCAAGTTTGCTCTTCGCTTCTGCTCCACGTTCTTCATTACGACAAAGCATGTACACCTGAAAACGAGTATGTAAATAGCTTTTAGTTAGGGGTGGCAGGACAAGAATGGATAAAAGATGAAGTTTGATTCCGCTAATTAGTCCCTTTTTGGAGTGCGGCACACATTCATTGCCAGAACTCTATTCAGAATCCCATTCAGAATCGTGCTGGTTTTACTGAATGTGATATGGCCCTCAAGAAGGCAGAAGGCTCGGTTAGCCAGGGTGAGAGCTTGGTGAAAATTAATTGTGTCGGCCCATTAGTAATAGCGTTTTTTCTCACTCAAAATATCGCGTTGAAAAAGATAATTTTTGCCACTGTGTTCTATACTGTTTTGCAGACGATTTTCTCGATAGTCTTCCTGTTTTTTTGTTTCTTTCTCATTAATATGAAATTCAATTGAGCATCTTTGACAGCTTCTCATTTTTAGCTTTAATTAAAAAGCTGACACCACACAGGCCCAGTTGCGCCAAGAGGCTCTGTCTCCTAGAAACGCTTACAACGGTTCAATTTATTCGGACATCTCCATTTCGACCTCACAGACAAGCATCGAACCTCACGCCCTACTCAGTCCCTAAGAGGCTACTGACTTACCTTAGTCAAGCAGGTTCATGCCAAAGTATGAGGAATCGTCTGAGAACATAGAACGCTTCCTTACCATAGTCAAGCATCCCTCAGTTCTTGTTGGAGGTCCGAGTGACTGGGTAGCTGGGTAGATTCTCCATTCAGTCGTTCCCCAAGGGCCCCATGCGATACACATTTACAAGGTCCGAATTCCCAACTGTTAATCGCTTAAACAAACCTTAAGCTGTCATAAGAAGCATCTTTCCTTGATCCGATATATCACAAGTTTGAGCTTCTTCTGTACTTCCAGAGCCGAGATAAAGTGCAAAAAGTTGTTGTCGAAAACTCATTTTTGCGTTGTCTTGACACTCCATTTCAATGAAATGAAAATCGGCAAAAATCAAGTAACAGTAAGAGGGCAACCATATTATCTAGAGCAGAAAATCATCTAACAGTGTAGAACACACTGGGAACAATTCTCATTATCCATGTAAAAACCTGTGTAGGGAAAAAAACGCCCCTACTTATGGGCCAAGCCAATATTTCGTCAAAATCAATGCAGAATAGTCAGGAAACGAGCGGCCTCACTAACATTAAAGCAAAACGACCGCCCCAGGCGCTGGTAACAAGCCCACGTTTCCGTGAGCTCATTACGGTCATGCACTGCTGGAAGATAGGTACCTGCCCGCCAATAGAACATGAATGCGAAAACTGTTGCCAACAAAGGCTAAAAGCAGACTTTATAAAGCTGACGAAGAAAAACACCTTAGCTTTGGCAAGACTGAGCCCTCTCACGGTTTCCAAACCAATGCCGCTATTTGCCCCTGTCACAACAGCCACAAGTCCTTCTGCAGATACATGCTCATTGAACTGTCCTCCTTTGATGTACTTCCTGAAACAAAATATACATAGCCGAAAGTGAACAAAAAATGAGGCAGAACAATTAAAATGACCAGGTCTAAACAGATAAAAGTATTCATTCGGTTCACAATATTATGAGGTGCGGCACCATTACCCTTTGTTGAGAATCGCAGTGGCCCCTTGAATTCGGTACCGCATACACAATGAACTGCGAGGCCAGCGGCCGAATGTGGCACCAGTTTACCATCTACGGAGGATAGAAGAGATGGTTGTCTTAGACGGGAGTCGAGTTGGGATTTGACTTTCGGATTTGACTTTTTTTGTGGTAAGTGGCCAGCTTGTCACTATACTACCTACAGAATGACCACCTCTAACGGAGAGAAAAACGATTTTTTTTCCGCCCTTTTCGTCGACTTCAACAGCGTAAGGGAACCGTACAAGATAATGTTGATTATTGACATTTAGAGTGGGTCCATACTTTGCGTCAGCGCGTGAGCGTGCGATAGCCTGTTGAGCAGCCGGGAATGTATAGGCATCGGCCCAGTGTCTTGAGCGCATCCCAGCGTTTTCAATGACATGGAAGGTATAGGTATCGCTGGCGTACGCTCTGGGCGGTGGCGCAAATATGAACGCAATCTTCAGGAAAGCAGAGGATAAGATTATAAGTTCAGGTTGTCAGGCCACGTACAGTACCCCCGAAAATTGCGCGTGGGATTAATTGTGTTGTCCGTGAATGCACACAACGGGGCCTGGCTCTAAGCGGACCACTTATTTTAGGCGTAGGTACCCAGCCACGGTAGTGCCTGCCGGTTGGACAGGCGGGTCCGATGCACGGTGCCGTTCCGCACACCGGAGCTTCCGCTACACCGCCGCGGGCGCGGTAGGCCGGTGCGCCGATGGCGTGGGCTCGCACGTCAAAGATGAAACGTGCATCAGCGTTACGAAAAGCCGTGTAACTGAAGCTTAAACCACTCAAACTGGGTAACCAAACTGATTACGGTGCGCCCGCGATTGTGTGCGTTCACGACGCGACATTTTTAACTTCACGCGCAATTTTCGGGGGTACTGTACGTGGCCTGACAACCTGAACTTATAATCTTGTAGTAAGGGAAGCCGGCAAGTTGAGCCCTTATGGTTGGTCATTCTTCATTTACTTTGACTGAAAATCATGAGCGGCATCATTACGAAAACTTCTTGGAGATTTTGGAAACACATAAAAAAGACACGGGGAACGAACTCTATGAACCACGAGGTGCTAATTGACACACCTGTGAAGAGAACAGCAGGAAAAAGAAACGTCAGGAACGCCTCGACTACGTACTTTAGGATTTCAGAGAATGAACAACTTGAAAATATGCTATCATAAGTCCGTACTTACTGTGAAGTAATTGAAGTGTAGTGTCTCCTACTTCCATAAGCTCGTGCAACAGCTTATAGACAAGAAAAGACGTTCTTTGGCATCGTTATCGTAAAGTTCCGCTTTCTAGGGCAGCCAAAAGACAAAGGTTGATTGCAAGATAAACTTGGGATTTAGGGGGGGTCTACGTCCTAGGATTGGCACCTTTCTAGTTCGCCGCTCTTTCTGTCTTTTCTACGCCCTTTTGACAAAGAGATTGGCATGACTTAGTCCTTGATGGATGTGAACCATTTGTGCCAGGAACGTCGCGAGCATTCACTGATGACAATCTCACACCTCTAGTTTTGCACAACATGATAGTGTGCCATGGACTCAGCAGAGGCACCGGAAGAATACTAAGAAGTTCAGGATTCAAAAAGTTGCAAGTAAGCAAGTGTGCTAGAACTGACGGTAGCTGTAAAAAAATGTCTATGCAAGGAGACTTTGGTTAGGAGATCATCACAATTACTGAACCAAGCAAGAAAAAAGGAAGTGCGAAATGTAACATGTGACGAATATTGAACCAGCATTCACCATAGAAAAGAGCACCCTGAATACAGCCCAGCAAAGGAACAGAAAAGAGCACTGAACGTTACTTTCGCGTCAAAAAGAGGTAATAATACCACGAGAGAAAGGTGATAAACCCTCCTTATTTGTTTATATTCCGTGATCCGACTGCTAGGATTGCCAGTATTAACGCACAGCGTTGATTTCCCGGGTGTAGGTTAGGACTCCACGAGGCGTCATGACTACCATGTTTCGCCTCGCCGCGCGCGGCGA